CTGTTTCTTTTCTTCCATGACCATGCCTTCTTCCTAAAGCACGGTAAGCCGTGGCCGGGCATGCCACCTCCCACGAGCTGCACCTGTTTCTTTTCTTCCATGACCATGCCTTCTTCATAAAGCACGGTAAGCAGTGGCCGGGCATGCCACCTCCCACGAGCTGCACCTGTTTCTTTTCTTCCATGACCATGCCTTCTTCCTAAAGCACGGTAAGCAGTGGCCGGGCATGCCACCTCCCACGAGCTGCACCTGTTTCTTTTCTTCCATGACCATGCCTTCTTCCTAAAGCACGGTAAGCAGTGGCCGGGCATGCCACCTCCCACGAGCTGCACCTGTTTCTTTTCTTCCATGACCATGCCTTCTTCCTAAAGCACGGTAAGCCGTGGCCGGGCATGCCACCTCCCACGAGCTGCACCTGTTTCTTTTCTTCCATGACCATGCCTTCTTCCTAAAGCACGGTAAGCCGTGGCCGGGCATGCCACCTCCCACGAGCTGCACCTGTTTCTTTTCTTCCATGACCATGCCTTCTTCCTAAAGCACGGTAAGCAGTGGCCGGGCATGCCACCTCCCACGAGCTGCACCTGTTTCTTTTCTTCCATGACCATGCCTTCTTCCTAAAGCACGGTAAGCCGTGGCCGGGCATGCCACCTCCCACGAGCTGCACCTGTTTCTTTTCTTCCATGACCATGCCTTCTTCCTAAAGCACGGTAAGCCGTGGCCGGGCATGCCACCTCCCACGAGCTGCACCTGTTTCTTTTCTTCCATGACCATGCCTTCTTCCTAAAGCACGGTAAGCAGTGGCCGGGCATGCCACCTCCCACGAGCTGCACCTGTTTCTTTTCTTCCATGACCATGCCTTCTTCCTAAAGCACGGTAAGCCGTGGCCGGGCATGCCACCTCCCACGAGCTGCACCTGTTTCTTTTCTTCCATGACCATGCCTTCTTCCTAAAGCACGGTAAGCCGTGGCCGGGCATGCCACCTCCCACGAGCTGCACCTGTTTCTTTTCTTCCATGACCATGCCTTCTTCCTAAAGCACGGTAAGCCGTGGCCGGGCATGCCACCTCCCACGAGCTGCACCTGTTTCTTTTCTTCCATGACCATGCCTTCTTCCTAAAGCACGGTAAGCCGTGGCCGGGCATGCCACCTCCCACGAGCTGCACCTGTTTCTTTTCTTCCATGACCATGCCTTCTTCCTAAAGCACGGTAAGCCGTGGCCGGGCATGCCACCTCCCACGAGCTGCACCTGTTTCTTTTCTTCCATGACCATGCCTTCTTCCTAAAGCACGGTAAGCCGTGGCCGGGCATGCCACCTCCCACGAGCTGCACCTGTTTCTTTTCTTCCATGACCATGCCTTCTTCCTAAAGCACGGTAAGCAGTGGCCGGGCATGCCACCTCCCACGAGCTGCACCTGTTTCTTTTCTTCCATGACCATGCCTTCTTCCTAAAGCACGGTAAGCCGTGGCCGGGCATGCCACCTCCCACGAGCTGCACCTGTTTCTTTTCTTCCATGACCATGCCTTCTTCCTAAAGCACGGTAAGCCGTGGCCGGGCATGCCACCTCCCACGAGCTGCACCTGTTTCTTTTCTTCCATGACCATGCCTTCTTCCTAAAGCACGGTAAGCAGTGGCCGGGCATGCCACCTCCCACGAGCTGCACCTGTTTCTTTTCTTCCATGACCATGCCTTCTTCATAAAGCACGGTAAGCAGTGGCCGGGCATGCCACCTCCCACGAGCTGCACCTGTTTCTTTTCTTCCATGACCATGCCTTCTTCCTAAAGCACGGTAAGCAGTGGCCGGGCATGCCACCTCCCACGAGCTGCACCTGTTTCTTTTCTTCCATGACCATGCCTTCTTCCTAAAGCACGGTAAGCAGTGGCCGGGCATGCCACCTCCCACGAGCTGCACCTGTTTCTTTTCTTCCATGACCATGCCTTCTTCCTAAAGCACGGTAAGCCGTGGCCGGGCATGCCACCTCCCACGAGCTGCACCTGTTTCTTTTCTTCCATGACCATGCCTTCTTCCTAAAGCACGGTAAGCCGTGGCCGGGCATGCCACCTCCCACGAGCTGCACCTGTTTCTTTTCTTCCATGACCATGCCTTCTTCATAAAGCACGGTAAGCAGTGGCCGGGCATGCCACCTCCCACGAGCTGCACCTGTTTCTTTTCTTCCATGACCATGCCTTCTTCCTAAAGCACGGTAAGCAGTGGCCGGGCATGCCACCTCCCACGAGCTGCACCTGTTTCTTTTCTTCCATGACCATGCCTTCTTCCTAAAGCACGGTAAGCAGTGGCCGGGCATGCCACCTCCCACGAGCTGCACCTGTTTCTTTTCTTCCATGACCATGCCTTCTTCCTAAAGCACGGTAAGCCGTGGCCGGGCATGCCACCTCCCACGAGCTGCACCTGTTTCTTTTCTTCCATGACCATGCCTTCTTCCTAAAGCACGGTAAGCCGTGGCCGGGCATGCCACCTCCCACGAGCTGCACCTGTTTCTTTTCTTCCATGACCATGCCTTCTTCCTAAAGCACGGTAAGCAGTGGCCGGGCATGCCACCTCCCACGAGCTGCACCTGTTTCTTTTCTTCCATGACCATGCCTTCTTCCTAAAGCACGGTAAGCCGTGGCCGGGCATGCCACCTCCCACGAGCTGCACCTGTTTCTTTTCTTCCATGACCATGCCTTCTTCCTAAAGCACGGTAAGCCGTGGCCGGGCATGCCACCTCCCACGAGCTGCACCTGTTTCTTTTCTTCCATGACCATGCCTTCTTCCTAAAGCACGGTAAGCAGTGGCCGGGCATGCCACCTCCCACGAGCTGCACCTGTTTCTTTTCTTCCATGACCATGCCTTCTTCCTAAAGCACGGTAAGCCGTGGCCGGGCATGCCACCTCCCACGAGCTGCACCTGTTTCTTTTCTTCCATGACCATGCCTTCTTCCTAAAGCACGGTAAGCCGTGGCCGGGCATGCCACCTCCCACGAGCTGCACCTGTTTCTTTTCTTCCATGACCATGCCTTCTTCCTAAAGCACGGTAAGCCGTGGCCGGGCATGCCACCTCCCACGAGCTGCACCTGTTTCTTTTCTTCCATGACCATGCCTTCTTCCTAAAGCACGGTAAGCCGTGGCCGGGCATGCCACCTCCCACGAGCTGCACCTGTTTCTTTTCTTCCATGACCATGCCTTCTTCCTAAAGCACGGTAAGCCGTGGCCGGGCATGCCACCTCCCACGAGCTGCACCTGTTTCTTTTCTTCCATGACCATGCCTTCTTCCTAAAGCACGGTAAGCCGTGGCCGGGCATGCCACCTCCCACGAGCTGCACCTGTTTCTTTTCTTCCATGACCATGCCTTCTTCCTAAAGCACGGTAAGCCGTGGCCGGGCATGCCACCTCCCACGAGCTGCACCTGTTTCTTTTCTTCCATGACCATGCCTTCTTCCTAAAGCACGGTAAGCCGTGGCCGGGCATGCCACCTCCCACGAGCTGCACCTGTTTCTTTTCTTCCATGACCATGCCTTCTTCCTAAAGCACGGTAAGCCGTGGCCGGGCATGCCACCTCCCACGAGCTGCACCTGTTTCTTTTCTTCCATGACCATGCCTTCTTCCTAAAGCACGGTAAGCCGTGGCCGGGCATGCCACCTCCCACGAGCTGCACCTGTTTCTTTTCTTCCATGACAATGCCTTCTTCCTAAAGCACGGTAAGCCGTGGCCGGGCATGCCACCTCCCACGAGCTGCACCTGTTTCTTTTCTTCCATGACCATGCCTTCTTCCTAAAGCACGGTAAGCCGTGGCCGGGCATGCCACCTCCCACGAGCTGCACCTGTTTCTTTTCTTCCATGACCATGCCTTCTTCCTAAAGCACGGTAAGCCGTGGCCGGGCATGCCACCTCCCACGAGCTGCACCTGTTTCTTTTCTTCCATGACCATGCCTTCTTCCTAAAGCACGGTAAGCCGTGGCCGGGCATGCCACCTCCCACGAGCTGCACCTGTTTCTTTTCTTCCATGACCATGCCTTCTTCCTAAAGCACGGTAAGCCGTGGCCGGGCATGCCACCTCCCACGAGCTGCACCTGTTTCTTTTCTTCCATGACCATGCCTTCTTCCTAAAGCACGGTAAGCCGTGGCCGGGCATGCCACCTCCCACGAGCTGCACCTGTTTCTTTTCTTCCATGACCATGCCTTCTTCCTAAAGCACGGTAAGCCGTGGCCGGGCATGCCACCTCCCACGAGCTGCACCTGTTTCTTTTCTTCCATGACCATGCCTTCTTCCTAAAGCACGGTAAGCCGTGGCCGGGCATGCCACCTCGCACAAGCTGCACCTCTTCCTCTCCTTCCACGACCACGCCTTCTTTGTGAAACACGGTACTGAGGAATGGCACCTGTTCTTGAGCTGTTTGTCTGATCATCACTCCACCTCTCACGAGCTGCACCTCTTCCTCTTCTTCCACGACCATGCCTTCTTTGTCAAGCACGGTAAGCAGTAGTGGCGGGCCATGCCAACGGGCATGAGCTTCGCCTCGCACGAGCTGCATCTGTTTTATTCTTCCATCACAATGCCTTCTTCTTTTAGCACGCTACTTAGTGGTTTTGCTTAGTAGTTCCCCTTCTTCCATGACAATGCCCTCTTTGCTAAACATGGTACGCCTGTTAATTAATGGTCATATTTCTCCTGCCATGAACAGCACCTCTTCCTCTTCTTCCAATTCCATGCCTTCTTTCTTACACATGGTGGGCACTACGTGCTGGCCTTTCTGTTCTATTTCTCTTTACTTTGGTACTTGCTCCGCCTGGCACTTCCGTCACATTCACCACGGGCGGGCCCCCAACCGGTCCATCACCTTGCAACAACACGATCGCTACTAACCTCTCCGTCACCTCACATCGCATTTGACCTACCCTTGCCTTCCACGCACTGGTATCCTCCTAACCGTTCTCCAACCGCCCACCTTCCCTTTCCTTTCTCCTCCCCCTGCCCTCCCCCCTTCTTACTCCCCACTGTGCAGTGCGCCTTGCCATTGCCTCCAAGCTCGACCGCTCCTTCCTCGACCTCTGGCTGCTGGGCGACCTTGACGGGGTGAGATGCGGTTTGGAATGGTTGGATACAGTCTGGTGTGGTGGCGCAATGTGGTCAGATGGGCGGGGGTAGTTTGAGATGCAATGATCTATGCTTGCTTGGTGCCTCTTTCTACTGCACTCCCACATTCTCCCACCCTCCTGCTGAGTCTAACTGTAACACGAATCACCTCTCTTTCACTCCCCCTCACCCCCCTCCACCAGGTGCTTTCCTTCTGTCTGCGCCCTGCCAGCCTATCTCAATCTCAACGCTCTAGAGAGGTGCTTGCTAAGGCTGGCAGTGTGCTTCCACGTGCTGCTCCCTCCTCTATCTCACCTCATCCCCCGCCTTCGCCCCTCCCCACCCCCCTCCACCAGGTGCTATCTTTCTGCGCCCTGCCAGCCTATCTCAATCTCAATGCGCTCGAGAGGTGTCTGCTGGGGCTGGCAGTGTGTTTCCACATGCTGCTGCAGCACAGGGGGGTGCGACCTCTGGACTGGCCGTACCAGCCCCACCTCATCCATCCCTCTGAAGGTCAGTGCTTGTTCCGCACCGTCTGCTGGGGCTCTTGGGTCGGTTGAAAGGAGGGTGCAGCGAGGGTGTGCGCTGGGGCTGGCAGTGTGTTTCCACATGCTGCTGCAACACAGGGGGGTGCGACCACTAGACTGGCCGTACCAGACCCACCTCATCCATCCCTCTGAAGGTAAAGGGGCGGGGCTGGGGTTGGTGTTTCCTTCCCACATGCTGTTGCAGCACAGGGGGCAGCGACCTCTGGACTGGCCATGCCAGACCCACCTCATCCATCCCTCTGAAGGTAAAGGGGCGGGGCTGGGGTTGGTGTTTCCTTTCCACATGCTGTTGCAGCACAGGGGGCAGCGACCTCTGGACTGGCCATGCCAGACCCACCTCATCCATCCCTCTGAAGGGAAGCCTGTGGTGTTTGCCATGTGGCTGCTGCGCTCTACGCTGCTTGGGCTTCACCACTGCTCACGCCTTCCCCGCTCCCGTCTCTCTCCTTTGATCGTATATATTTTAACCACCCTGGCAGCACCAGCCAATGCCACACCATCACTAGCCGCGCATGCAGCAGCAGCCTCCTACCGCCGCTTCACCACTGCCCTCCTCTTGTCCCCCCTTCTCTCCCCCTCCCTTCTCCCCCCGTTCACCCCATTGTCCCCTTCTCCCCCCGTTCACCCCATTGTCCCCTTCTCCCCCCGTTCACCCCATTGTCCCATTCTCCCCATACAGTCCTGGACGATTTGATCACCCTGGCGGCACCACCCACACCATCGCTAGCAGCGCAGGCAGCAGCCGCCTCCTACCGTCGCTTCACCACTGCCCTCGCCAGCCGCAGCGACCTCCGCCCCCGTGCCACACCCCCCGCCGAACCTCCCGCCAAGCCTGCCGGCGAACCTGCATCCCAACCTAAAGGCGCTCCTCCCCCCCCCCCTTCCGCTGCTCCCCTTCCCACTGCCCCTGGAGCTGCCTCTTTCGGGGGCTTTGGAGGGGCGACTCGCTTTAGCTCTGATGTCAGATTGATTGAGCAGGTGAGAAGAGCGGCAACGTTGGTTTGGGACTGGTCAGTTGTGCCTGTTGACTTGGCGCATCAACGTGCCATATGGATTGCCCACCCGCTCCTCCTCCCCTCCCCGGCGCTGCCCCTGCCTTTTTTGCCGCAACATATGGTGCGCCTGGGGAGGTGAGGCATCAACGATGCTGGGAGGCCTCAATGAGAGTTGTGAGACGATGTGAGATGATGTGAGAAGTCTTTTTTGTTTTTAGGCGCCTCAACAAAAGATTTGATTCTGGGTTAGAGGCCTCATCGCGAGATTTGGGACGATGTGAAACGATGTGGGACGATGTGAGACGTAGCTTGGGGGCTGCGTATGGGACATGCGTGGAGTGAAGGGTGAGTTACATTGTTCACGTTGCGGGACATTACATTGGGTTAGTCATTACATTATCCACATTGTTCGAGGCACATCATGCAGGACTCATGTCACACAGTGGCGAGGTGGGTGCGTGGTTTGGATGAGATAGAATGTGAAGTGGTGGTGTACTGTGCTGTACTGTACAGTACGGTATGGTACTGTACTGTACTGTACTGTACTGCAGCGGGTTGGGTGGGAAGCTAACACCGTCTCCCACTGCTACTCCTCCTGCTGCTGTTGCTTCTGCTGCTCCTCCTCCTCTGGCGGGTCTGCTTGCGCTGGCTGCTTCGCGGTGATGCTTGTCCTGTGTGCAGTCACTTGCAGAGGAGGATGAGGATGATGAGGAGGAGGAAGAAGACGAAGATGAGGAAGATGAGGATAGCGACGAGGATGAGGAAGAAATGGGACTGAGTGATGAGGATACAGAGGGTGGTACATACGAGGGTGGTACATACGAGGGTGATGGAGATTTCCTGGTGTTGGAGCAAGAGAAAATGAAGAAGAAACGGTGCAAGGTACGGGAACGGGTAGGCCGTAGGTGGTACAAGGTATTTGTTTGTTGGTACTTGGTACTTGGTTGCAGAGGTCCCAGAAACTGTTCTCTCTTGTTCTCTCTCCGCCCATCTCCCTGCAGCCTCAGATGCAGGCCTTGTCAGCAGCACCAAGAGGGGGAGGAGGAGTAGCAGGCGGGTTGCATTTCAGCTGTGATGGCTGTGGCACCAACCCAATCAGGGGACCCCGCTACCGCTCTCTTGTGTATGTCATATCCCTCTCTGCTGTTTCTTTGTGTCCCTCTCTGCTCCCTCGCGCCTGCTTCGCCTCGTCTCACTTCGCCACACCTTTTGTTTCAGCTGTGATGGCAGAGGCACCAACCCAATCATCATCTCGCCGGGTGTGTGTGTGTGTGGACCCCGATAGCGCTCCCTTGTGTATGCCATGTCCCTTGCTGTATCTTCTTACTCTCCCTCACGGCTGCCTCCATGGGCACACGGTTCCAACACTGTCAATCCATCCCCTTCCCCGTTACCCCCTCCCTCTTCCATTTCTTAGTACCTATGCATCCTCTCCCCCCTACTCCTCCCGCGCCTTGCAGTCGTCAGGACTACGATCTTTGTGCGTCCTGCTTCGCCTCCACGGGCACACCGGGGAGTTCCACCACATTCAACCGCCTCCTTTGCCCCTTCCCTTCCCCGTACCCCCCACCGCCCCCCCCCAGTCGTGACGACTACGATCTTTGTGCGTCCTGCTTCGCCACCATGGGCACACCGGGCGAGTACCAGCGCTTTGACTCCGGCCCTTCTTTTGGAGCAGCAGCAGCTGGGGAAACAGAGGAGGCTGTGCCCGTCCCATCAACGCAGCAGGTGAGAGCACAGGTTCTACCGCTTTCAATCTGTCCCGTTCTCTGCACGGGAAATGGCAAAGGGAGTGACTGCACAGAGAGAGTTCAATGTACTCTCTGCACCAGAGAGAGCACAGTGGCTGTGGGGGGAGAAGCTTCTCTGCCTCGTTTGCCAATGCAACCAGCTAGAGTGTTTCTTCTTTTTCTGCTTCTTCTTCCTTTCCTTCTCTTCTCTCCCCTCCCACTCACAAGGTGGACGTCATGAAGCGCTACGGGGAGACGCACAAGCGCGCACTGAGCGAGCAGACACCGGACCTCATCCCTGTTCTATCCTCTTGTTACCTCCTACTTCTCTCCCCTCCCTCCCACCCACCCCAGCGCCCCCACAAGGTGGACGTCACGAAGTGCTATGCCGAGACACACTACTTCAAGCGCGCACTCAGCGATCAGACCCCGGACCTCATCCCCTCCTCGCCCTTCTGGGTCGATTTCATGCGCCACATCCTCTCTTCTGCCGAAGCTGCTGCCAAACCTGCTGCCAAACCTGCCACCGAGCCTGTCTCAGCAGCAAGCAGCTCTGCGCTGGCGTCGCTCTGCTCCTTTGCTCTCTCCCTCCCTCCCTTCGTCCCTGCATCGCTGCACGATGTAGCTTCCTCCTCCACTGCTGCTCTCTCTGCCCTTTCCATTCTTGGCCTCCGCTTTGGCGGCAAGATCAGGCAAACCGGTGCTTGTAACGAGGAGGCTAATAACGAGGAGATTGGGGGGAGGGCGGGCGGGGGAGGCGGGTCTGCTGGTGCAGTGGAGGGGGAGGAGCATGGGTTTTCGTTTAGAGGCACGTCGGTTACAATCACACCTGCGTCGCCCATGGTGGTGTACAAGCAGGAGTTGTGTGAGGTGGGGAGTGGTGCAGCGGCAACAGCAACAACAACTGAAGAAACAGCTCCTCCATTTCCGTTCCTCCCCTCCCTTGCTCCTGGAATCCCCTCCATCCTCCTCTCTCAGTCCATCCACACTCTCCTCGCCCCTCCCTCCTCCTCCTCCCCTTTCACCCCCCACTCCTCCTCCCTCCTCTCCTCCACCACCCCCTTCCCCCTCTTCCACTCCGCCCTCTCCACCACCCCATCCATCCACCCCTCCTCACTCCCGTCCACCCCTCCATACCGCACCGGCATCTGCTACCTCCTTCAAATAGTAGTAGTTAATCTCCAGTCCGCCCCGCTCCCCCCGCTGTTGCTATTATTCCAAGTTCCCCAGGGTTCTGTGCCTATTTCCCCTCTCGGCCGCCCCACCCAGAGGCTCCGCCTGCCACCGCTGCAGCCCTTCCAGAAGCGAGTCTTCACTGCGCTCTTCTACTTCCCCTTTCCTGGAAGCTTCTCGCTCTTCCCTGCGCACCTGCTGCCTGAAGCTGGGTCAGGGGGAGGGGGCGGGGGAGAGGGAGGGGCAAGGGAGGAGGAGGGTGGGGCAGACGTTGGAGTGGTGGCAGTGGCAGCAGGGGTACCCGCATCAATCCCCGTCCTCTCATCATCCGAATACGAGAAGATGGAGAGGGAGAGACGCGAATCCCTCCTCCAGCAACACTTGCAGGCAGAATCAGCAGAATCAGCAGCAGACAGGCAGCGGCAGCAAGCGGGAGGCAAATCCCTGTCAGCAGCAGAGGAGGCAGCACAGAGAGCGGAGCTCTGGGAGGTGATCTGCCAGTCAGGCAGCGAGCCTGATATCCTCCGCATGCTGCAAGGCCCCTCCCTGCGCTCCCTCGACCTCGCCGTCCTCCTGCCGCTCATGCCCCACGCGCCCCTCTACCACTCCGTCACCTCCCTCCTCCGCCGCCGAAAGCTCTTCTCTCCGTCCATCTGGCAGTACTCGCTCTTACACCAGGACCCTCGGGGAATGTCTGAGTATTTGGCTTATGAACCAACCTTCCTTGCTCGGCTGTCCTCCCCTGTGCTTCTCTCCTCTCTGTTGCATATCGAGCCGGGTGCGGCAGGGGCGAGGTTGTCGCTTCGGTACCGGCTGAACGGGAGCGCCGGTGTGCTAGGTTCGGGTTTCGGTTCGGGGCTAGGTCCGGTGTACGAGCATGAGGAGTTCCTGCCGCTGCTGAACCCCCGGGCGCACAGGTTCGGAATGAGTGGTTCGGACGGGGCAGGGAGGAGGAGAGGGAAGAGGGTCGACGGCGAAAGCCCGGGAGAGGGGAAAGAGGGGAGAGAGGGGGTGTATGGGAGTGAGGAGGGAGGGTGGGAGGAGGAACCGGGGGTGAATGACATATGGAACGAGCAACTACTAGAGCACTACAGTCGGTTCCTGGAGGTGTGTGCAAGGAGGAAGGGCGGGATGAACGCCCAGGAGTGCCTCGCAGCCGCCTACTACCTGCTGGTTCAAGACCGAGTCAAAGAGGCCCACCTCATGTTCCTCCGGGCAGCCTCTGGAAAGATTTTCACCCTGCCCGACACGTGGCGGGCGGCGCTCTGCGGTGGAAACAGTAGTGCTGCTCCTGTGGGGGCTGGTGCTGCGGCTTCTGCTCAGATTGCTCCTGCTGAGGGTGCTGAGGGCGCTGAGGGTGCTGAGGGCGCTGAGAATCCTGCTGCTGCTGTTGTTGGAACCACTAGCAGCAGCACCAGCATCAGCTCTGTCCCCTTTACTGACCTCCCCGCTACAGTCAATGTGCAGCTTGCAGCAGATTACATGGCCGCTTTTCTCGACATTCTCCTCTGCCCGACCGACCGCCTGCCCGTGGTCGCCCGGGCAGCTGCGAAAAAATACCGAGCCGTGGACAGGAACGGTGGCAGCAGCGGAGGAAGCTGCCCAGTGGTTTCCTGGAGAAAGCGCTTTGCTGACCTGGGCAAGCAGGTGTATGAAATTTGGATGGCTGCCCGAGCTGCCCGGGCTGCCGGGGCTGCCGGGGCAGGGGGGCGTATCATTGTTCTGGGTGGTGTGGAGCGGCATGGAGTGGCTGGGGTGGAAGGACAGGCACAGAGTGATAAGGGAACGGAAGGAGGAGGAGGAAGAGGAGGAGGTGGAGGAGGTGAGGGGGTTGGTGGGGGTGGAGATGCATGGGAGTGGGAGGAGGACGATGACTGGGTGCTCACAGGCAGTCAACCCCTGGCAGGGGCAGTTGGAGGCGGAGGGGGAGGAAGTGGAGCAGGGGGGACAGCAGGAGAAGCAGGGGTTGCACCAGCAGCAGGAGGAGTGGCAGCAGCAGGTGAAGGCGCAGCTGCTGCTGATGAGGACATGGCTGACGTGGCACAGCTGGCGGAGGCAGCTGAGGGGGATGGGACGGCAGTGGACCCATTCTCCCTCAAGAGGAGCTCCGGACCCAAACCCTCCCAGGAGCCCTTCCTGGATGCCAAGCTACTGCCCTCCTCTGCCGCTGCTGCCACCGCTGCTGCTGCTGCTGCTGGCACAGGTGGCACCGAATCCGGTACAGTCATGCGGGGTACAGTCACAGCAGCAGCGGCGGTGGTGGGGGTGCGGTATGCGAACGTGGGGAGCATCCGAGTGGACGTGTTTGCATTCGACGAGGAGACCTTCTTCTCCTCCTCGCCCTTCTCCCTCCTCTCCACTGCAGCCGCAGCCGCTGGTGGTGCAGGGAGCAGTACTAGTGTGAAGGGTGGAACCCGTGGTGGGGTTGGGAGGAGTGGAGGAGAGGCAGGAGAGGGTGGCAATGGGGTGGGCGGGCCCTCATCCATCTTCGTGGCTCCGAATTGGTCCACAGTTGTCAGCACGGGCAGTAGCAGCAGTGCCGCTGGTGGTGCAGCCGCGCGTGCAGGCAGCAGCAGCAGCAGCCTCAGTGGCAGCAGTGGCAGGAGTGGCAGGAGCGGCAGTGTGGTGGTGGCGCTGCCAGCGGAGTTTGATTCAGAGGCTGTTCTCATTACTGTCTCCTCCGGTGCTCTCACCACCACTCTCCTCAGGTGCGTATCCTCACTAAAATAATTCCTCATTTCTCCCTCTGTGCCCTCTCTAGTCTTCCTGTACACTGTGTTCTTTTCATTTGCCACCCTCACGCCCTCTCTCTCCCCGCCCCTCCACCACAGGCCGGTGCACGAGTCTCTTGTGGTAGAAGTGGTGGAGAGGCTGGGTCAGCTGAGGGTGCTTCGCCGCATTCCCACACCTGCGCCAGCACCTGCCGATGGGTCTTTGGGCAGTGGGAAAGCAGGAGCAGTGGCGGGCAGGCTGGAGTCAGCTCAGGGAACTTTGGTGCCGCTGCCCGGAGCGTATGTGAAAGTTTTCTTCCGCCCGAAGTCGCGAGGGGTTTCTTACCTTTTCAGCGGCAGTGCAGGGGAAGAGAGGGGTGGGGCGGAGTTTTACAAGGATGGGTACACGGACAGGCGTGGGTGGTTTGACTATGCGTTTGTGAGCACAGAGGATGTGGAGAAGGTTGATATGTTTGCTGTGCTTGTGACTAAAGAGGGGGCAGGTTCAGTTGTGCGCCATGTGAAGCCTCCCAAGGTTTGATATGACTGCGACTTCGTATTTCTTTGCTGCTGCTCAATGTTCTGTACACATTTGTAGAATGTATGGTTCTGCTTGGAGTGTGAATACTAGTATTTTTGTGCAACAAGTTTCGTTACTGGGCTCAATTGCAAGACATACTCATGATCCAGATTACCTAATGCGTGTTGCCTTCTTTGCATTGGTTTAATGTCAGTGTTAGTTTCCTACTAGACAAATCTTCTGTTTACTTCAATTGTAGAATTTAGTTGTGTTGTCAATCACTCTCGTTGACATCATTTCTACAGTTTTTTCAAACAGAATTGTCAAAATACGATTTTAGCGAGGTAATCCAATCTGTTCGGTCGGCTTGAACTCGATTCAGTCACACAGCGCACAGCGACTCGGTTTGAACCCAAATTTGCGATTCGATATTCACCACCACCCACCCACCCACCACATTCCAACTCGGCAAAATCTCTTTCCTGCGGTTCAGTGCGTTCCGGTAGGTTTCATAACATTTTCATCAGCATCTAAACTGGTTATGAAGGCTTAGGAGTAATAGTTGTAGCAGACAAATCCGGTACATAAACGGCTCTCCGGCATCCTCACCTTCTCCTGCGTGCATCAGTGGACGGTGGTGGTGAGGTGAGTGGTCTCTCTGGCAATGAATGGGCAGTCAGACACCAATCGTGGTGTGGTGGGGCGAGGATGTCATGTCAGTCGTGCTTTCCCCCGATCTCAATGCGCCACCTCCATTCGGACTTTTAGCCCTCTCCGCTCAGTTCTCTTGGCTCTCGTCGTCCCGTATTCCCCAACCTCCCACATTGAATCTGTGCACTCGCGCCTATTACAGCCCATGTTCCGTGCCCATCTTATCACCCTTTCGCCTCCTTGACTGAAATTGGTTTAGAGAACTTAGCATGTGATCGGTCAGATCGGTTACTTGGCTCGTCCCGTAGCCCGCAATTTCCGTTAGCGCAGACGAGGGGCTCTTCTTAAAGCTTAGTCCGAGCTGTAGGCGCGCCTCGACATGTACGCGGTTTGACTAATAGAAGTATTCCGACCAGCCTCGGAGTTTGCTCGTTTTGTCGCGCTACTCTGCAATTTGTCAATCAAGTATCACCACGTGGCCGCTCAAGATCCACGTGGCTCGTTAGCTGCACCTCGATACGATGGCCCCTCGCGCATATGTTTCACTGTCAGCGGCACTGTTACAGCTGTTGCTGTCAGTTTTGTTACAGCTACGAGCGACTGTTACTGCTTCCGCACCGACGGGTGTTTTCGCAGCTGGTGGGGTTACCACAGCCGATAGGGTTACCACAGCTGCCGAAATGAAACCGGCAAAACCGACTGGCAACCGGTGCGATATGCTCGCCGGCCGGTAAGCTGCTACCACCTCGTTTATTCCCTCCCGCCTCATTGAGCAACTGCGATCCACTCACTCTATATCGCGTTCCTTCCCCGTCTTCTGTACGGCTGGCTTTGCACTCGCTTCCAGCCGCGGCGCTGCACGGGTTGCAGCTGGGGCTAGCATTGCAATCCTTCCACGTCACCCCTCCCGGTTGGATGAAAACTCACGTTCGGCCTCAGTCGCAGGAGCATCGGCCCTAATGTGATGTCGCTTCCTCCTCCCTTCCCCTCTTACCCTTACATTCGCTCGCTCGCATTTGTTTCACCTTACCCTTTTCACCTTCCCACCCCCCTCCCCCTTTTTCAGCTGAATGTGAACTCGCTTTCAGCCGCGGCGCTACACGGGCAAGAGCTCCAGGAGCATCAACCCTCGCGTCCGTTCGTTCGCACCCTTGGGACGTTTCAAAAGTCGTTTCCATTCCATCTCTTCCTGTGCCTCCCAGATGGACGCGAACTCACTTCCAGCCGCGGCGCTACACGGGCTGCAACAGCATCGGCATTCAGTCCCTTCGGATCCTACATTGATTTGCTTTCATGACAGTTTTTCCTTCTCGTCCATTCCACCCCTTTCAGCTGGATGCGAACTCACTTTCAACCCCGACGCTACACGGGCCTCAGCTGCAAGAGCATCGACACGCATTACAACTGCGAGAAGAACGGGCGGCCCAACCTCAAATACCTCGACTACGAGTGGCGCATCCCCGGCTGTAGCATCAAGCGGTGAGTCAATCACGGCTGTAGCATGAAGCTGGTATTTGCTCCCTGCTGTAGCCGCCTGTTGTGCATCAAGTCAAGGTTCATCCCGCTCTTTTCTCCACCCTCCCACGCAACCCCCCACGCTACCATCTTTTACCCCTCAGCCTCCCTCGCCCTACTGCGCAACAAGGTGTTCATGATCGTGGGGGACTGATACACCCTTTCACCGCTCCCCACTTCCACTTACCAGCTTCCACCCCTCGTCCGTCGTGTTTCACCCCGAATTCCCCTCACAGATTCGACCCAACGACCTTCCTCTCCGCGATGCGCAACAAGGTGTTCATGATCGTGGGGGACTCGTACGCCCTCTTTCCGCCCACTCCCCCCTTTCTGATCCCAACACCACCCATTCCTCACCAGCTTCGACCCCTCGGTCTTCCTCACTATGATGCGCAACAAGGTGTTTATGATCGTGGGGGACTCGTACGCGCTCAACCTGCACGCGTCCATGCGATGCCTCATTGAGTCTGTCGCAATCACGCAGGTACGATGCTGCTTGTCACACTACAATAGCAGCTGCGGCAACACACTCGTACGCGCTCAACCTGCATGCGTCCATGCGATGCGTCATCGAGTCCGTCGCAGTCACACAGGTGAGTTGCTACCTACCCTACTATGGCGCTGGGTATAACAGTGGTTACCCTACTATGGTGCTGGTTACAACAGTGGTTACCCTACGATGGCAGCCTGTAGCAACACACGCGTACGCGCCCAACCTGCACGCGTCCATGCGATGCCTCATTGAGTCCGTCGCAGTCACACAGGTGAGATGCTGGTTACTGGCAGACTTACAGTGCTGTTCGGGATGGTGCTTACCCTGCGGTTCTAGCTGTAGGAACACACTCCCACGCCCTCAACCTGCATGCTTCTATCCGATGCCTCCTTGAGTCTGTTTCAGTCACCTGGGTACAATGGGTATGACTATGCAATGATCTGCCATTGAGGGTTACAAGGGTATCCCACCCCACAAATTAAAGGTGCGATTTCACACTACCATCGCCCAGTCTTGAGACATCTCAAAACATGCCACGCCCCTTCCTCACTCACCCCACCCCACCCCACTCCACCCCATACCACGCCACACCATGCTGTGCACAGAAATCCGATGGCAATTTTTTCAAGTCAGGCGTGCCGGCCAAGGGATTCATCATGCCGTCCCAACGCCACCTTCAAGTTGTTCGAGACGTCGCAAGACATGTCCCGCCCCGCCCCTCCCTCACCCCACCCCACCCCACCCCATGCCACTCCACACCGTGTGCAGAACTTTGACGGAAATCTTCTGAAGACGGGCGTTCCTGCGACGGGCTTCATAGTGCCGTCCCACAATGCCACGACTTCTCTCTCTTTCCTCACCACTCACCCCCTCTCATGCCCTTCCGTCACCCCGCACCACACCATGACCACAATCTTGGCGGGAATCTCTTCAAGACAGCGGTGCTTGCGACGGGCTTCAGAGTGCCGTCCCACAACGCCACCATCATTGGTATCACTTCCTTCACCCCACTCACGCACTTACCCCCACCCGACGCTGTTCGCAGAACTTCAATGGGAATCTGTTCAAGACGGGAGTTCCTGCGACGGGCTTCAGAGTGCCGTCCCACAACGCCACCATCATTGGTATCACTTCCTTCACCCCACTCACGCCCTTACCCCCACCCGACGCTGTTCGCAGAACTTCAATGGGAATCTGTTCAAGACGGGAGTACCTGCGACGGGCTTCAGAGTGCCGTCCCACAACGCCACCATCATTGGTATCACTTCCTTCACCCCACTCACGCCCTTACCCCCACCCGACGCTGTTCGCAGAACTTCAATGGGAATCTGTTCAAGACGGGAGTACCTGCGACGGGCTTCAGAGTGCCGTCCCACAACGCCACCATCATTGGTATCACTTCCTTCACCCCACTCACGCCCTTACCCCCACCCGACGCTGTTCGCAGAACTTCAATGGGAATCTGTTCAAGACGGGAGTTCCTGCGACGGGCTTCAGAGTGCCGTCCCACAACGCCACCATCATTGGTATCACTTCCTTCACCCCACTCACGCCCTTACCCCCACCCGACGCTGTTCGCAGAACTTCAATGGGAATCTGTTCAAGACGGGAGTACCTGCGACGGGCTTCAGAGTGCCGTCCCACAACGCCACCATCATTGGTATCACTTCCTTCACCCCACTCACGCCCTTACCCCCACCCAACGCTGTTCGCAGAACTTCAATGGGAATCTGTTCAAGACGGGAGTACCTGCGACGGGCTTCAGAGTGCCGTCCCACAACGCCACCATCATTGGTATCACTTCCTTCACCCCACTCACGCCCTTACCCCCACCCGACGCTGTTCGCAGAACTTCAATGGGAATCTGTTCAAGACGGGAGTTCCTGCGACGGGCTTCAGAGTGCCGTCCCACAACGCCACCATCATCCGCATTGCTTCGGCATTCCTTCTGTACGGCGAACCTGATGTGAGTATCCAGACCAGATAACGCGTGTGAACCTGAGGTTGGCACATGTAAAGCGTGTGGCATGTGACTGTAGGCGAACCTGATGTGCGTACTCAGATAAGCATTCTTGGATGGAGCGTTAGTGTGAATTGATGTGTGTACAAGCCAAGCCCATGCAAAGCGTGTACAAGCCAAGCCCATGCAAAGCGTGTACAAGCCAAGCCCATACAAAGCGTGTATCTTGGATGGAACTGCATGGTGCACCTGGTATGCATAATTAAATAAGCAGTTATGGATGGATGCAGTACACTATTTCATGCAGTGACGTGTGACTGTACAGCACGTACTGAGATAATAGCAAATGTGGAATGCAGCACAACCAATATAGCAGATGGCAGAACGGCGAACATGATATGCAAGTTAAGCTGCGCATTCAGAATTCTATACCTGTCCTTCGATTTTCTTAAGTTATGTCGTCTCCTCTCCTCTATGTTTCTCCGTTTTTGTAAAATTTATCCGTTCTGGTTGTTCAGGGGGAGAGGAGTGTAAAGAGCATGTGGACCAGTGTGGCTGGGGTATACTTTCGAAGTCTGCTTTTAAACATACTGCTCCTTTCTCCCTCCATTCTCGATGCTTAGGGCGAGCGCAGTGTGAAGAGCACATGGCCGGTGTGGTTGAAGTCTTCTTTTGAAGCGACTAAGAAACAGACTGCCTCTTTCTCCATCTGTCTGCTTGCTCAGGGCGAGCGCAGTGTGAAGAGCACGTGGACGGTGTGGTTAGATCGGCTGAACCCCGAGTGAGCCGATCTGCTTTCCTTACCTTTCCCCCCTATGTTCCTCAGTCTTTGTCCCATGTCCCCCATTCCTCGCTGCCCAGGGCGAGCGCAGTGTGAAGAGCACGTGGACCGTGTGGTTGGATAAACTGGACCCCGAATGGGAGGCCCTGCTGCCCTTCACCGACTACGTCGTCATGAGCGCCGGCTACTGGTTCACCAGTGTACGTTATACTGAACCGAGTCAGCATATAGCGAGGACTGGCTACTGGTACACCAGTGTACGTTATACTGAACCGAGTCAGCATATAGCGTGGACTGGCTACTGGTACACCAGTGTACGTTATACTGAACCGAGTCAGCATATAGCGAGGACTGGCTACTGGTACACCAGTGTACGTTGGGCTGGTTGATCAGGTACACCCTGAGTGAATCCGATAAGTCCATCTGGTAAGCTGCAGATCTGCTGCCCTTCACCGACTATGTGGTCATGAGCGCCGGCTACTGGTACACCAGCGTACGTTACTCTTGACTGAGTTGACTTACAGTGATCACTGATCACTCACTTCACTACTGCTACCTTTCATCCACGTCATATTCACTTCGAACGCACACCCATTATCTCTTCAGCAGCAGCCTCCAACGCTCTTTTGTTTCCCAATCTCGGGAAGCAAAAGTGGTGCTATCTCTTCAGCAACAGCAACCCTCAATCCTGATACTTCTATATCCCCACCCTCCATTTCCCCACCCTCTCCACGCCAGAGAGGAGAAGCGGCACTATCACCTCACCTCAGCAACAGCACCAAACGGCTCTCTTGTTTCGCTCTTAATCCCTCCCCTTGCTTCGCTTCCAGGCTCGAGAGAAGAAGCTGCACTATTACTTGAGCAGCAGCACCACACATCCTGACACCTCATTCTCCCACCTTCCATCTCTCCACCCTCCATTACCCCACCCTCCCCAGGCTCGAGAGGAGAAGCGGCGCTATCTCCTCAGCAACTGCAACTCTCCATCTTGACACCTCTACACCCACGTTCCATCTCCCCACGCGCCATGCCCCCTCTCCAGGCTCGGGAGGAGAAGCGGCACTATCTCGTGAGCAACAGCCCCAACCAGCTCTCCTGGAACCCCGACCAGCGCACCACCATGCAAACCGCTCTCTCCACCATCGTCACCCATTTCAACCGCATCAAATACCGCGGCCTCCCCATGTTCCTCTCCTACACCTCCTCCCACTACGGATTCGAGCTCGCGGGCACGGAGGCGGCTAGAGGGGTGCAGTATAATTGCACCGACGCGTGGCGGCCAATCGGGTGGCGCCAGGTGTCGCACAGGGAGTGGGCGGTGGAAGACATGTGGGAAGATGGGCCCGAGGTTATGCTTTTTCAGGGTGGGTGGCAGGGAATGCGGAATGGAAGCACCAGTGGGTATGGGTGCATGCGTGTGTGCATGGGGATGGGTGGGGCATCTGCAATTATGGTTGCAGCTACAATTTGGCTGGAATGGGCTTTTCCGTGGTTTGGGAGTTTGCAGTGCATGACTGTACCTGTCAGGCAGGCATTTATTTCATGGTGTTACCTTGACACCATCTGACCATGGCTGCTTGCAGGTTTTGCGCAAAGGGAAGAACTTCAAGGTTCTGGACATTACGTATCCCACGCTTTTCCGCCCTGATGCTCATCTCAAGAACCACAATAAAGGGGATGGCGGGTTTGACTGCGCGCATTGGTGCATACCGGGTGTACCTGACATGTGGTCTGATCTCATCTTCAACTATGTTCTGAATAGCGAGAAATAAAACAGACAATAGTTTGTGAAAACATATACTTATTTTAAAGCGAGTAGGCAAAATAGTGAAGGGTTTAGGGTTTACCTGTCACAATGGTTCTGCGGCGCATCTTCAGAACCATTGTGAAAACATATACCTGTCACAGTGGTTCTGAAGATGCCCGTCCGGCCGGAGAATCGAGAGCGGAGTCACATCAACCACTTTGAACTCCTTATATTGCCGCACAACCTGCAACACAAACGAATCATGACATGACCATTATACAGATATACAATATCTGTTGTAGGTCCTCCACTGCAGCTGTAGCCTGCACAGTGGTATGCAGAATAGGTCGCATGAACGCGCTACAGCCACCCTTTGGCCCGCTACAGCTCACCAGGTTGTCTCAATCTGTATGTTCCAAGCCTCCAGGACTTTTGGGGTGTCTCAAAAGTCGCTTCGGCCCGCTACAGCTCACCAGCTCTGTATGCTGTCTCCAGGAGTACGCCTGTAGCCCAGAGTGCAGCAGCTGTAGCTCTCACAGCCGAAACTATTTTTGAGTGACTTAAAAGAGCGGCATCTGTAGCTCTCACAGCATCTGGCACAGAAAGTGCAATACCGTGCCACACCACAGCCGGAATTCACCTCCGCCACATCAGCCACCCCACCTCCCAAATCTCACCGCATTCCGAGCCTTCAAGGCATCTTAGCCCACTGAGCTACATCTGCAGGGCATCCATCCCCTCCGGCCACACAGATGTGCTACAGCCTAGTCCATCCCAACCCCTCAAAACCATACCAAACCCACCTCTATCTGCGCATATCGAGCCGCCAGCACATATGTAGCCCACTGCGCTTCTTCCAGAGCCTCCACCCCCACGGGCCGCATGTAGGAGCTACAGCCGAGCTCACGAGCCGTACTGTTGACTCGCACTTTGACGTGCACAGGCGAGTAGCCAGCATGGGAATCCCTGTGCAGCCAATCCCATCCCAACCCCTCAGCACCCTTCCAAACCTCACCTCTATCTGCGCATATCGAGCCGCCATTGCATCTGTCGCCCACTGCGCCCCTTCCAGAGCGTCCAACCCCACGGGGCGCATGTAGGAGCTACAGCCTATTCCATCCCAACCCCTCAGCACCCTTCCAAACCTCACCTCTATCTGCGCATATCGAGCCGCCAAAGCTTCTGTAGCCCACTGCGCCTCTTCTAGAGCCTCCACCCCCACGGGCCGCATGTAGGAGCTACAGCCGAGCTCGCGAGCCGTGCTGTTGACGCGCACTTTGACATGCACTGGCGAGTAGGTGAGCAGCATGGGCGTCCCTGTGTAGTTGATGCTGCGGGTGAAGCGTGCGACTGTATGCAGGGCGGCTTGCATGGTGGCCATGCGGTTGTGGCTTGGCTGTTCTTTATTGTTCACCATGTAGTGCCGCTTCTTAAGGTTTGCCTGCAGCGGGGAGAGGTGGGGGGCGGAGGAAGAGTTGGGGTGAAGGGTGGAAGGGAGATGAATGTATGCAGGGCGGTTTGCATGGTGGCTATGCAGTTCCAACGTGGCCGCTCCTTGTTTTTTATCATGTAGTGCCGCTTCTTAAGGTTCGCCTGGGGGGGGGGGGGGGGGAGGAGGGGGGCGGAGGAGAGATTGGGGTGAATAGATTTTGAGTCGGCTCAACTAGACATGGCTGCTCCTTGTTTTTTTATCAAATAGTGCCGCTTCTTAAGGTTCGCCTGGGGGGGGGGGGAGGGGGGAAGGGGGGGGGGATGGGGGAGGGGGGGAGGAAACACTTGTTCTCTTTGTCGTCATCAGCCATGGGTGTCTGGGTCGCGACAAGTAGCGGCACCAGCATTCTTCTGGGTGGTGAGGCGTACTGACGAGGGTGTGTGGCGCACGCACTGAAGCGCGTACCACGTGCGACAGGCATTGAGACGTCTCAAAGCACGCACGCACTGAAGCGCGTACCACGTGCGACAGGCATAGCCATCTCAACTCTCGAGGCGCCTCAAAAGCCATCTCAACCGACCAGGCAGCGCTTACAGGAGCCCACCAACGAAGTGGATTGAAGTCACTTCTGGTATTTCTCAAAAGTGGATTCCCAAAAGAGAGAGTAGATATATATATACATCAAAAGAGAATTCTGTAATTTGAATTCTCACTTGTTTACCAAGTACCAGTCAAGACAAAAACATTCCATGTGCTGAAGGTCATGTGAAGACTGCATACGTAAAATAAATGCAACCCGTAGTTCTATGTCATAACGCATATATTGACTCAACATGGTGTACCAAATCCAGATTTCAAAAGCACATATCCGGTATACTCAAGGGCAGGGTCTACATGACATGTTGTACCTCGGTGTTACATCATAGGACATATTTAACTCACAATGGTGTACCAAGCTCCGATCCCAAAGATCACATAGTCTGAGTACTTCACCACACGCGACCAATCAGGATGCACCTGATCCAGATGCACCGTCCACGTGCTTGCAGTGGTCATATCGCCCTGATCGAAAGAGAGGGAAGGAAAGAGCACACAGGACCATTGGTTGACGCAAAAGATAGCAATAACGATGCGAGTGTACTCGTATTTGCAAGCAGGACCATTCGTTTTTTATACTTGCTTGAGCAAGACACACAAGTCAAATCCTGCGGTACTCACATTCAGGTAGACATGGCAGCATGGGCTGGCAGCAGCAGGGGCTTACACTGGGAATGGATTGCACGAGGAAGGAGGAGACGTGCTTTGAGACGTCTCAAAGGTTGAACGCTGTGCGACTCACTTTTAAGTATACATGACATGGCAGCATGGGCTGGCAGCAGCAGGGGCTTACACTGGGAATAGATTGGACGATAAAGGAGGAGGCATGGCGAAGGAAGGTGGCATTGAATTGCGGAGCAATCACGGCGCGAGTCCTTGGTCCTCCTGGGAACAGGGGGTCATCCCTGCTCTGTCCACGGGGGTTTGGGAGGGCAAGCAGGTGGAAGGAGGAGGCGTGTTGAGCAAGAGAAGGTGGCAAGGTGCGGTGCAATCACGGCGCGAGTCCTTGGCCCTCCTGGGAAAAGCGGGCCGTCCCTGCTCTGTCGAGTCAATGGGGGTTGGGAGAGCAACCAGGTAGAAAGAGGAGGCGTGTTGAGGAAGGGAAGGTGGCATTGAACTACGGTGCAATCACACCTGCACTAGAAGGTAATAGCGTGACAGAGAGGCAGATGCGTTGAACCTGGACGGCGTAACACACCTTGGTTGGAGTGGCTGTTTCGATGAGGCATTGGAGGGCTGCAAAGAGATTCATGGAGACAGAATCCCCGATGACCAGAAACACCTTGTTGCGCATGCGCTCCAGGAAGGCAGATGCATCGAACCTGGACACGGGACAATGAGAAAGTTGCAACAAATCTGGACAGATGTTGTCGACGCAGCAAGGAACAGAATATAAGGTGCATCTTATGGGACATCATGCGTTAAACCTGGACGATGAGCAGGATTTTGACCCGAGCAATGCGATCGGTACTGCTGGTACGTCAAAGCATGAGGCTCGTTGCACTGACAAGCATGTTGTGCAATATGCAGCAGCTCAATGCACAGACCTCTGACTACATCAAACCATACCTCTCTCTCAAGGATGGGGCCCAAACTTCGCAAGCATGTTGTGCAGAAGAACAGAGCACCTTCAAACACGTGCCCGTGGCTCTCACACAAGCCCTACTCTCACCTCTCAATGCGGCAGCCAAACCTGCGCCACTCGTACTGCATGTTGGTGCGTCCAATGCGCTCACAGGCATGCTGTGCACTGTGCAGCAACTGCAAGCACTTGCCTCTGTACGGCAGCACTTGCCTCTCAATGCGGCACCCAGGGCTGCGCCACTCGTACTGTAGGTACCTCAAGGCATAAGGCCCGAACATCACAAGCATGTTGGTATCTGCACGCACCTCTCACAACCCCTACACACATCTCAATGCGGCAGCCAGGGCTGCGCCACTCGTACTGCATGTCGAGTGGCGCAACGAGCCACACACACCTCTCAACGCGGCACCCAGGGCTGCGCCACTCGTACTGCAGGTACCGCATGTTGACACGCCCGTTGCGCTGGCAGTTAAACGACCGCGGCAGGCTCTTGCAGCTCTCGCCCGTGTACTGCGGCCGGCGGGACGGGTTGACCTCCCAGCTGATGGTATCGGGTGAAAGCGCAAGGGTGAAAGCGCAAGGGTGGGAGGGCAACGGGGATCTCGTGACTACGTGGATATAAAAGCAGGGTTAGGCTCTTGCAGCTGTCCCCGGACGACTGGGGTTGGCGTGATGGGTTGGCCACCCAGCTGATGGTGCAGGGCGGGCAAGGGAAAACAGGAGTGTGAAACAGGAGTGTGAAACAGGAGTGTGAAACAGGAGTGTGAAACAGGAGTGGGAAACAGGAGTGTGAAACAGGAGTGTGAAACAGGAGTGTGAAACAGGAGTGTGAAACAGGAGTGTGAAACAGGAGTGTGAAACAGGAGTGGGAAACAGGATCACGCTCTTGCAGCTCTCCCCTGTGTACCGCGGCCAGCTGTTGTCACAGGGTTGGGTATGACATGAAGGAAACCGGGATGCTGTTCATTACATGCATATGCATGAAATGAATTTTGGCTCCTGTAGCTCTCACCTACCTGACATACCATGCAGGTCGAATGTGTGCGTTTGCCAGATGACATACAATGTAGGTCGCATGGGTGCGTTTGTCACCTTTCACCTGACATACCATGCAGGTCGCATGTGCGCGTTTGCCACCTGACATTCCATACAGGCGTCATGTATGCATTTGACACCTAACATACCATGCAGGTCGCATGTGCATTTGTCACCTGGCATATCACCCTCGTGTTACGTTTGTCAGCTGGCATTCCATGCAGGTCGCATCGGAATGTGTGCATTTGCCACCTGACACACCTTCCAACGGATAGATCGCAAGTGGGTGATGGCGAAACCGCGGTTTCGCGTTCTGGCTTAGGCTCGGACGGATTCTCTGGTTCGGATAGCTGCTCCGGCGTAGGTTGGGAACCCTCTGCAGGCTCAGCTTGGCCTACCGCAGCAGATGACGCAGATTGCGTTTGCGTTAGCGTTTCTGTCATCCGTTCTCCTGTTCCGAGATTCAGAACGTCAGGTCTTGAAAGCGAGGAGTGAAAAAATATAGCGACGAAGACCAGTATGAGAACAAGCGACGCGAAGAGAATGCGCTGCTTGGCGCGCTTCCAGTCTGCTACACCCGCAGTTGGCGGCGGAATATCAGGAGAAGACATGTCGTCTATGAAAAACGAACGACGGATTCGCGCTCGCATAGACCTACGCGAAATGTGCTCAGACTACCAACTCCAAACGCTGCATTGCTGTTGATTACACTGCCCAAAGTAGTCGCACGGACGGGTTATGCGAAGCCGGCAACGAAATCAATGAAGGATTACTTCGCGTCCCTGCTTACTGCGTACATGACCATTCCCGCCATCGGCACCCAACCATGAAACGTTACCCGCTCGCGACACTCGCCTCAACCACGACTCCCGCCACTGTTCACGATGCGACCCAACATCACGGTTCGGTTGGTAACCCGCGCCCCGGACCTCCGCCTCGACATTTCCCAACCTCGGCGCTAGGCCCGTAGCGCACCCCAATTTCTCGCATTACCGTTACCACGCTAGCTTCGCTATATATTCTTCGCTCATGCCTTCGCTCATTGGACTGTTTTGCTTCGATAGTGCAATTCTCGCTCGCTCGCTCAATTGCACTCGTAACTAGGGCCTATGATTCACTTTTAGGCACATAAAGGCATCAGGGTCCCCTTGTGTAGAATCCCTGATAATCAGTGTCTCTAAAAAAAAATCCCTGAAAGTTCAGTGTTCCTTTTTAAAAATCTCTGATGCATCAGTGTCCCCATTTTCTAAACGCTGATACACTTCAATAACTAGAACACACTAACTAGCTAGCTTGCATTCAATAACTAGAACACACTGCCAGCATTGCTATGCTGCAACCCTGTGATTGGTCAACCCATGCAATGATGCGAAACTGGGCAACGATCATTCCACGCGCGCCAAATTCAACAGCCCACCAGGTGTAAAACTCGGGTAAAATTTGTCTCGTTCTCACCGCCAGGTGGTGCTGGCGGTTAGTACCAGACGATTTTTTTTCCAAACACCGCGGGAATCTGATATTCCCTGTACTTCGGGGCACTTACACTCGGCACGTGTAGGAACCGCATTCAGGGTCAGTTTCGTTACAACGTAAAGTGATCAGTGTCCTTTCGAGAAAAAACCTGAAAGATCAGAGTCATCTGGCACCTAAAGGCTGAAAAATCAGCCCCTAAAAAAACATAACACTGGAAAATCAGGATGGGTACAAAAAATCCCTGAAAATCAGGAATTTCAGGGAAAAAATCCTGATAACGTAGGGCCTGCTCGTAACACTTGGTATTCAGAGCCTACGATCTCTTCTCGGACCGCACCCACGCCTTCGCTTCCCCACTATCTCAAATTTTGGAGGGGTTAGACGTCTCTCAACATTCAGGCACCGCCGCTCGAAGTGCTCTCTCGAAAGCACGCACGGCTACGACTGAGGCTCTCGCTGAGCTCGCCCGACACCCCGCCATGGCCGACCTCAATCTCGCGACATTGACGCAGGAGCAACTCGACCGGCTCGTCCGCCAACTCGAGGATTCGGCGCTCGAAATCGCGACACTCACGGCGGAACGTGACTCCGCCCGCCAGCAATCAACGGTGAATGCACCAGCACCAACACAAGCACCCGCAAATGCACCTGCGCAATCGGATGAGCCGATTGTCATCTCATCCGGCACACCGTCACATCACGACAGCGTGGGACAGCGCTCAGGCGCAGCTGTCAGAATCAACTGTGCAGGAATGAATGAACTATGAATGAGTTGGGTACAAGTACTAACCCTAAAGTGCTGTACCCCTTGTAGGCTAACCCACTATAGCCTAGAGAGAACACAAACATATAGTTTGACACACCCCCATAGGCTAAGTGGGAGATAGCAAACACAACAGACAGTCACAAGACCAGTCAAGCAAGAGAACAAAGCAAAGCACAGCTCAGGGTGGATCTCAAGGACACCACACAATCTGAGCACAAGCAAGCGGCCACAAGGCCAGTTCACATGCAGAGTTATAATGGCAAGGCAGTGCACTGATCACAACCTAGCAAGAGTAAACAAGTAGGTATAAAGATATATATCAGTGTACAACAAGATCAAGTCAAGCAACCAATAGGTGAGGCAGAGTGGGCACAAGCCCAAGAGCAGTACAGAAACGCTGATGATCACCAGACCCAAGGGCCTTGGTGAAGACATCAGTAGTGTTGGCCCGAGAGGCCACGTAAGCAAGGCGCAGCTGACCACGCTGCTGCAGCTCACGCGCAAGGAAGTAGTGAAGAGCAATGTGCTTCGTTCTGTGCTCCAGTCTCTGCTCGCGACACAAGGCAAGCATTGCCTTGTTGTCGACGTACAGAACTGGAGGAGAACGAGGCCGCTCCCCCAAGTCAGACAGCAGGTAGGTCAGCCAGCGTAGCTCCTGTGCAGCCATGGCCCCAGCGTAGATCTCGGCCTCACAGCTGGAACCAAGCACAGAAGTAGAACGAGTGGACCTCCACGAGACAGAACCAGAGCCAAGACTGAAGGTGTAACCCTATGACGAACGCTGAGTCGCCTGGTCGTCGGCCCAAGAAGCGTCGGAGTGTCCTGTGAGTACCACTGAACCCCGTCCTCCAAGCACGAGCCCCATGCCCAATGTACTGCACAAGTAACGCAGTACCCCATTCGCAGCATCCCAGTGCACCTTTCGGTGTCTACCGGGAGCCACGTAGCGAGCCAGAAGGCTAAGAGGGTACGCGAGGTCAGGTCGTGTGCACGTCATCAGGTACATGAGGCAACCCACAAGCTTTGGGTACGGACCACTCGGCTCTACGGACTCGTCCGAAGGTGGAGCTGAGAGCGAGTGGCCGGTAGACAGAGGAGAGGGCTGTGGCGACGAGAACTGGAAGCCGAAGCGCTGAAGGACCTGGTGCACCATGTGTGACTGAGTCAGGGTGATGGTGCGCCGTGCTCTGTCCCGGGTGATCTGCAAGCCAAGATAGCTCCGCAGCTCACCCAGGTCAGTGCAGGTGTCTCTCTCCTGCAGCTCCGCCTTCACTAGGGCCAGCGCCTCCGTGTTAGCAGTAGCAAAAACCAAGTCGTCGACGTACACGAGAACGTAGAACGGCTGCAGGGTAGTGTCGGTGCGCAGAAACAGCGACAGGTCAGCAGTCGAGGGAGCAAACCCAAGAGCCGCAAGTGTCGTCCTCAGTGTGTCGTGCCACTCGCGAGGTGCCTGACGCAGGCCG